AATACTTACACTTCTAGATATAAAACCCAATACTCTGTCTGCCTTATTTCGAACATTAACGCACTGTTTTCTAGGCCGTAGGTCCGGGCATACAAGTACCCCTAGGTCTCTTTCACAAGTCGACTTCTCTAGGTTGATGTTGTTAAGGCTGTATACATTATAAGTATTTGTTCTTCCAATATTAAGTACGCTGCACTTGCTGGTGTTGAATTTCATTTGCCATTTTTCAGACCACCCCTGCAGTTTATTTAGATCCTCCTGTAATGCATTTGCATCCTGCCCTGAATTAATTTGCCGCCCTATTTTGGTGTCATCCGCAAACTTGCTTATGTCACTGCTGATCCCAGTATCTAGATCGTTAATGTAGATTATGAACAAGAGTGGGCCTAGTACTGACCCCTGGGGAACCCCACTGGTTACACAGCCCCACTCAGATTTAACACCATCTACGCTGACCCTCTGCGTCTTTCTTTCGGTGAGCCATGATTTTATCCAATTTAAGACCTCCCCCTCGATACCATGAGCCTTAATTTTTCTCAGAAGCCTCTGATGCGGTACTCTGTCAAATGCTTTGCTAGAGTCTAAGTAAATAACATCGTAATTTTCGTCATTATCTACTACCTCGAAGACTTTCCTGAAAAACGTTAGCAGATTTGTTAGACAAGATTTTCCCTTTGTAAACCCATGTTGAGAGTCGTAGATTAATTTGCTTTTCTCTAGATGCGATCCGATGCTATCTGCTATAATTGATTCAAGAAATTTCCCCACTACTGACGTCAAACTGATCGGCCGGTAATTTGACGCTGATGCTCTGTCTCCCTTTTTGAATATGGGTACTACATTTGCCTGTTTCCACAAGTCTGGCACAACTCCAGTGTCTAATGATTGTGTAAATAAGTTTACGAGGGGTCCGCTAATCTGTTCCCTACACTCTTTCAAGACTCGAGGGAAAATTTCATCCGGCCCTGGGGATTTTGTTTTCTTTAGTTTATTTATCTTCTTAAGAACATCCTCTTTTCTGATAGTGATATTCTTTAATTTCTCTTCTTCCTTTCCCTTAAATATCAGTTCCACCTCTGGAATTTAATCGCAAATTTCTTCTGTGAAAACTGATAAGAAGTAGCTGTTCAATGCTTTGCTTATTTCTTCACTGCCATTTATCACTTCTCCCCTCCCTGACTTTAAAGGCCCAACTTTGTCCTTGACCTTTGTCCTATATACCTGGAATGTTAATGTTAATGATAATTATCTTGAATTGGCTTCTGACGGAAGTTATCGGAAATTTCCACTTTTAAAGTGGTTTGAGTATTTTTTTTCAAAAACATCATCGAAATTAATGTATCCTTCCAATTTCCACTGCTTAAAATTGTTAAATAAACTTATCTAAGGGGTTCATGGTGCTCCTCAGATTATTTTCGATCATCTTCCGTAAACTAAAGGACCTCTCAGCTAAGGCAATAGTCACTGCCTCACTGGTACTGTAAAATAATAAAAATATTCGGAACAATTATGTTAAAGTAAATCTTCCAACTACAGGTAGTGTGGAGATAGCGGACCGTCGCTCATATTTACTCTACGAATTGCCTTTAGATGCAATACAATTATTGAGATGTATAGTTGCCAGGCCTCTTAAATTGTTCACATGTATTTTCCATGATTGAGATGGCATAGGATATTTTAGAATTGCCAACTTTGATATGTATGGCCCTTTTGATCATTTCAAACTTGACATTTCTCTGCGTAAGGAGATTTGTTTTGTCACTTTGGGCCAGAAGTAATGTAATTGTGTTTGTTCAATGCATTGTCGTTACCGGGACGAGCGCATTGGGAAGGGAAAGAGAGCTTGGTACAGATTATGTACTGTATTGAGATTCCCTGAGTCGCATCTCTGCATAACACGTTGTCAAACATGACAATTTCTCTAGTGAGAACAGGAGGTTTTCCTGTGAATTGGAAACATTCCCTTTTATTTTAGAGTCAGTTACATGTGACCGCTGTTCAGTATTCATCCACGTGAAGATTGGTGGATCGGTTTATAGTTGCCATTTTGAGAGAATGTGCAACGGCAACATGATTTTTCTTACCAGGGGTAAATTTGAAATGGATGGAACTTAAAAAATAGTTAGGAACCATCTTGCAAACTTACCAGTAGGATTCTTATTGTTTTATAAACCAAGAAGAGGAGTTCAGCTTGAAGAGTACAACGTATGAGTAAATAAACTCCCTAATGCTTAAGTTCCCAACTGGCAACGCATCGAGTTTCAAGGTCGAATAATACCTGGTACACCACCCGTTGCAGTTGTTAGGACATCCTGCTTGGTTCCACGTCGCATCAAATGTAAACAAATTGAATAACGCCTTTGTGATGTTCAGGTGACTGCTGACGTCCTCACAACAGCCACTGGGTAGCGACCATTGTTTCCTCTCACTGCAAGTAAATATTAAAACTCTTATAGTTAAGGGCTGTAGGAGTTTCGTAACGAAACGAAATCACTATAGGGAACTGAAATGATTTGTTTATGGTAGAATTTGTACTGCACTAGTGAAGAGTGAGAACTTAAAACTGTTGTCACGGAATGCACTAACTGTAAACCTGTAAATTTAATATCTCTGAGACTGTCGTTAACTTAAGCTGCCACCACCTCTAGTATTAGTCTGTTGTATAGAAGACTGGAAATAACCATCTAATGGCTCTGTCAGCTATCCTTAGTCAAATTGTCATGTTTACTGTTGATATATGCATGCACTGTCTACTGTAGGTACATTGGAAACTGTATACATCCACTGTAAAGCTAGGATTCCATTCACGCGGTAGCAATAGCATTAGCGGCAAAAATATACCATTGAAGTGTACACGGTTGCGTTAGCGTTATGTCTGCGGTACATGTCAATCGCTCCCTTTAGCGATTGAAGACGCAACCGCATGGAAACGGACGCGGGAATCCCATGCTATGACGCCAGTATCCGTGTTTGCTCTCCTCACCCAGCAAATGCCCCAAGGAAAAAAGTTTTTTGTCGAGGGGACTGAGAAGTTGATTCACTCAAAATATATCCCAACCTATTTTTTTAATGCATTTATATACAGTAATGCATTTAAAGACCTTTATATATATCATTTTACGAGACCATACATTTTTTACACTGTGGGGTTCCCTTTGTTTGGGTTCACACTCAGGATAGTATGGAGAAAGGAAACTCACAATGTGCTCTCTGTATACATGTTGTATTGGATGTACAATGCAGCTTGGTGCTGGAAAGTGGCAGCGTGGTTACAAGCGTGATGTAGAGAGCTGGTTGGTGAGGGTGCTCAGAGGACAGCTTGTGGGTTGCCATGCTCGCCGGCGGGAGCGAGGGCCGCCAGGCAGCGGCGGAGGAGGTGGTGTAGCCTGCTGCGGCTGTAGCTAGAAGAAGAGGTAGGTCACCACGAGGTCAGGTCTTATATAGCGGAGGTAGGCGTGGCTTAATAGTTGACCTCCGTGATGTATGGCGGCGCTGGTTGACCTAGACCACGGGGCATACACTGGGGAATTCGCGGGGTCGGCTACTCAGCGAGAAACAGCGTTTGTAGGGGAGAAATCCACTACAACACAACTATTCTAAAATGAAGGTTCATGGTCTCAATAGAAGGTTCACTGGAATAATAATTTTTGTTACACTTAATATTCATCAATGGTTCCTATTAATTTCTATTTATAAGAATGATTCACCTTATACATATTGCAAGTCGCTGCCTTGAATTGAATTGAATTGAAACAGTTTATTTAGCTAGAAAAAAAAAAGCATACAGAGTGGATAATAATAACTATATTAATATGGCTGAGCCAGTTGAGAACCTGAACTCTCCTGTAGGCACCTGATATATACCATACATTTATCTAAGGAAGTATTATGTAACATCTGGAATAGTACAATAGCATGGTGGTAATAAGAACATCTCATAATGTTACTACGGTTATCACTTCAATATTTTTATTTATTTATTATTATTTTTATTTATTTTTATTATAAGTATATACATAAATTACAGTGGAATTGAAAAACATGAGTATAATGGGGAAGCAGTACTACATGGGTTGTACAGTATTAAGGTTGAACAAGAGGACAGAGCTGTCGGGATTATGTCTAGTTGGCAAATATGTTTATTGCAATGGTAATTTCTTATCTATTTACATGATAATTTCTGATAAAACGGTTTTGATGGTACAATAAAAGCAGGTATATATATATATATATATATATATATATAGTAGGTATTACAAGAAATATTAATACTTAGACATATTTTTTAAGAGATGATTGGGCAAATGACTTCTCTCTTCCTATAGTGTTTCACCAAATCCTCCTCAACCAGGGAAAGAACCTGTGCGAACTGTTGTCTGCTTAAACGAAAAATTCTTTGACATTTTCTTCATCCAAGCTTTGGTCATTTACCACAGTATTGTAGGGTTCATATTTGGTCTGATTTAGCAGCAGTCTATGAAACCGTCATCTACGTTTTCCTTGTCCGTTCTTCCTTTGATTTACGCATGGTCTTATACAAACTCAGAATGTTTAATAGCAAATCATCCTGTTCATATAAGACTCCTAGCTTCGATGCACTAGGAGCCATCTTTCTTGTCCTGTTCCCACTAACAGAAAGACAACTGCATGCGAATGGAAACAGGGGTGTCCGTTTTTCAGGGCAATTTAACGCAAACACATACTGACAACGCATACCGCAAACACATTTATGGAATCCTAGCCTTAGGCTTTACAATATTGAAAGTTCCAATAATGCAAAGGTCAGCAAATATAAAGGTAAGCGACACCAGGGTGGCGACACACTGTGGTGGCATGCTTACACACAACACTTCCCAGGAAAGCCTCGTATACATAGCTGAGTGGGATGCACCTAATGTAGTATTCCCCAATGCTACTAAAACAAAATACTGTATATAAATAATATTTAGAAACAGTCTTGATATTGCACAACTTTACATTTTTTGATATCTTCATCTCAGCATCAGGAATCATGGCGGAGGTGGTAGAAGCGACGGTGGTCGTGGAAGAGTTAGGTCCCGCACAGTTCGGTGCGGTGGATTATATCGTCTTCATTCTGCTGGTGGTGGTATCGATGGGCATAGGCGTGTACAGTGCTCTCAGGAACCGGGGCAACTCCTCCACCCAAGAGTACCTGCTGGGGGGCGGACAGATGCCTCTCCTCCCCGTCACCCTATCACTCATCGGTGGGGTGGTATCCGCCCTCTCTATCCTTGGTAACTACAGTACTTAATTCTTGGTATTCACACAATTATTATCAGCGATAAACTCATTATAGAAGATTTGGAAATGTATGAATAATATTTACTCATATATTTTATTTCCCCCTGACTTGATTAGTGAGGAGACATGTCAGTCAGGTAATATATGTGTGTGGACTCTTTTGATCAAGTCTGGTCATAAAGGAGCCCACACGAGTCACAATATTCCCAAGCAGAATATTTCAAGAGTTCACAAGTCTTACTCCAAAGTCGTTAGCTCTGATAATTTCTTTAACTTGAGGCACATGGGTTTGTAATGTCTTTTGAGTTGTTGATAAACTTGTACTAAATCCCTCTGCTGTCCCACTTTCGGATGTTCTAATTAATTTGCAATGTCTGATGTATCCGGAAGGCCGAGAAAGATTACAGTAATATGAAGAACCAGTTTCACTCCCTCACCACGCCCTCATACCTGCCTGACCACGCCCTCACTCGCCTGACCATTACCTCACACCTGCCTGCCCACGCCCTCACACCTGCTTGACCACGCCCTCACTCGCTTGACCACTACCTCACACCTGCCTGCCCACGCCCTCACACCTGCCTGACCACGCCCTCACTCGCCTGACCATTACCTCACACCTGCCTGCCCACGCCCTCACACCTGCCTGACTACGCCCTCACTCGCCTGACCATTACCTCACCTGCCTGCCCACGCCCTCACACCTGCTTGACCACGCCCTCACTCGCTTGACCACTACCTCACACCTGCCTGCCCACGCCCTCACACCTGCCTGACCACGCCCTCACTCGCCTGACCATTACCTCACACCTGCCTGCCCACGCCCTCACACCTGCTTGACCACGCCCTCACTCGCTTGACCACTACCTCACACCTGCCTGCCCACGCCCTCACACCTGCCTGACCACGCCCTCACTCGCCTGACCATTACCTCACACCTGCCTGCCCACGCCCTCACACCTGCTTGACCACGCCCTCACTCGTTTGACCACTACCTCACACCTGCCTGCCCACGCTCTCACACCCGCCTGTCCTCCCACAGGTAATGCGACAGAGATGTACTTTTATGGGACCCAGCTGAGTATGAACCTACTGGGGTGTGTGATAGGGACCTTTCTGGTGCAAGTCCTCATCATTCCTGTGATCTGTCAACTTCAAATGGTGTCTATGATGCAGGTAGGTGTGTGTGTCCTTGTGTGTATTAGGGGAATGTGTGTTCACCTGGCAATACTTTATTTTCCTGGTGTAATACAGATTTACTACTATAGACTTATGTAGATATAAATCATCATCTACACAATACCCACGCTACTGTTTCACCCATCTCTTTGCAGTACCTAGAGATGCGGTTCCATTCAACAGCATTACGGAAGATAGGAACCCTCTGCCAGCTGATAGCAATGTTTTTCTTCCTGGGAATCTGCCTCTACGCTCCCTCCCTCGCCCTCTCCTCTGTGACTTCCCTCCCCACCTGGGCGTCTGTCGTCGTCATGGGATTCATCTGCACAATCTATGTCACTATTGTAAGATTCGCCGCCGTCCTCAACTACTTTCGAGTACTGTTCTGTATAATGCTATTCCATCGACCATTTGGGTAACCCCATCAGAGATCATGTAGATTTGTAGACCTTTGTTATTCTACACCTCATCCGGCACATTTTTTATCTTTGGACTTTGGTAATCTGACGTATTGTATTATACACTGATGGTAAGAAAAGCAAACTGATTTTTTTATGATTAATAAAAGAAGCTCAAGTTGTCTGCTCCTCTCAAATATATGAATATATGTATAAACATCTAACGTTAGTTTGATGTGTAAACTGATAAATGTATGAACATAAAGATAACCACAAATTGTAATGGATAAATATGGATTACTCGGATTTATTCCTGTGTGATAGGGAGGAGTGAAGGCAGTTGTGTACACAGACGTGATCCAGACGATGGTCATGTTGTTTGGTGTACTGGCAGTGGTGATCCAGTGTATCTACCAGCTGGGCGGGTTCCAGGCCGTGTGGCACACCTCGCAGCTGGGAAATCGCATCGAGTTTTTTAAGTAGGTGTCATGCTACTGTAGTAAGTTCATGTAATTTACAGAAATGTTAATCTTAAGAACACAACGTATTGCGAACAATACAGCTTTGCATTCATATCTGAAATCACTCTATTAAATAAATAAAACGTCATATTTGCCACGTTATATTAATTCTGCCAGCAGAATTTAATATCATTTTATAAACACCTTAAAGGACATTACTCAGTCGAGTATACGTACATACCTATAGTATGTGGAATTCTCGGATGCTCGCCCCACTAGCGGTCACAGAGCCTCAAGTTAAAGAGCCCGTTCGTACTAAAAACTAACAGGGTTAACTACTCTAGCGTAAGAATTGTCAATTCTTAGAAAAATATGAAATCTGCTTGAAGATGTGACAGCACAAGTATTGACGTGCATGACAGACCGCCTACGTGGCTAACAGGTCAGTCAATCAGTATCACACTAGCGTTTATTATTATAATCTGTTCTAAGCGAAATTTTCACTGCCAATCGGTCGACACTGCTCTAGGCGCATCCATCTGTTTTATTAATTTGCTTGCTTATTTTAGTTTCACGTGAAAAGTTAGTGCCCAGAGCCTTTATATAATAAGATCACATCGCTAAGTTCTTTCTGTCCGATTGATTAACTGGTTAACCAGAGACCCGGGAAAGTGTCGTACACAATTATGAAGTATTTTTTTTTTTTTTTTATTAAGTTAAATAAGTTTTGGTTCTTTAAAGAAACTGTATAGTAATCAATTCGTCTGAATGCTGAACTCTTAGAATAACTGTCTATATGCAGCAAGATAATATACACTGTTTACTGTACACACGTCAGACTGTGGACCCACCGATATGCTCGATAAAGAGAGTTTGGACAATAATTTATAAGAATGGAGGAAACTGCCGTGGGCCTATTGGCCCATACTGGGCCAATATATATATATATATATATATATATATATATATATATATATATATATATATATATATATATATATATATATATATATATATATATATATATATATATATATATATATATATAATGTCCTAACATGATGTACCCCCTCTATCTGGCTTGATATATTTTTATACAGGTGTTGTATTATTATGCACTATTTTTAAATACTGTCAATATTTTTCTATTTCCTTGGTTTTATTGGTCCATATTCTCTGATAGCTGTTCTTAATGGCACATGACAACCACTTAACCATTGTAGGTTAACATTCTTTTCTACTCCCTGACACTGCTCACTTCATTGTATTTTCCGGAGCGGGTGATGCGGACTGGACTGTACACCACGTGATCCAATACAGTTACAGCGAGAGGAAAGATGCCTTTATGAATATATGATGACACCATTCTTGTCTTGTATTCATCATCTTTTGTTTACAGTAGATTTTTTATTAAGTGCCGATAGTTGTTGCAGGCACACTAACTAGTAAAGAACTTCTTCACCTCTCCACCACAGCATGGACCCGAGCCCCTTCGTGCGTCACACCGTGTGGTCGACGCCGATATTGGGCATCTACTTCATCATCAGTGTAGTTGGTCTCTCTCAACCTCAGTATCAGCGCTGTGCCTCCTTAAAAAACACCCAAGAGCGTAAATGGTGAGTCCAGAAAAATTGTAGGACACAGTGAACTAGTGTAACTTGCGATTTTTATTTATTTTTTATAATTCAGTATATTTATGTTTATAGAGCATAGAAGCATGTCTATTTGTACATTTCAAGAACTTGGAAGCAAGGGAGTACATTAAATTTGATCAGACCGCCGGGGAATTTTCTTTTAAAATTGCATAATAGGGTGAAATAACTATATAAATATAATACAAAACAATTTAAATAATAAGTCTTTGTCTGATAGTTTTACAGATATTAATTAAAAGAAACGAAACCTACAACTTTATCAAAATTAGTCTAAATGGATAAAGAAATGGTAATATACTTTTCGTAGTTTGAGCTCATTGAAAATAATAGGAATACATGAACGAAATATTATTAAAATATTCTTATTTAAAGGCAACAGTTCTTTAATATATGAAACACGACCAATGAAATTGATTTGACTATCTTGAAAATTTTAAAGATAAATTTTATCTTTTTTACACGCACACATCCAGGTAGTGCGCACACACATAATGTACACCTACTCACACACACGCACACACAAAGCCACTCCTCCCATGTATATTTCCTTTTACTCTCTTAGGGTAAGTACACAAAGAAAGCAAATTCCGCTTGCCGGTTTCCAGCAGTCAGCGATAGTCCTTGAATGGCACGAAGCTAAAGATTATGACGTTTCAGCGGTGTGTCCTTACTGTTTTTAGTCCTTGGGTATCTGCGAGTTGCTGTCGTACAGTAAAGATATTTAGCTGTTCGTCTGATGAAGATTTTCTTTTGCTCGATAGTGCTTTTAAAAAAATCAGGAGGAAAAGAACTGGAATACATGAAATCAATTGCAGTAGAGAAAATTACAGTGAATTCCATCTTTTTACTGAGCTGAAAATGGATCCAAATAGGTTTATTTCAATATATGAGAATGTCGCCCTCGACTCGCTGGTTAAGGAACTGTGGTCGAAATGTTGAAATTCTGATAATTAATTGTCTTAATAGTACCTTAGCTTATGAAGTTTTGGTAAGTAATTATGCTAATTGATACGAGGACACTTAATCTGAAGTCAACATTTCGACTATAGATCCTTCAGTGAAATAGAAAAGTAAAAATAACTCAAACTATAGGCTAAGTTTCCAACGGAAACGCTATTAAGTATTGGGGGGGGGGGGAGCTCTAGATCCCTATACAAGAATCAATACAATAAAGTTCCGTGCTTAGTAGCTTCTAAATATTAAACCTTTCCCCTCTAAGCTCTGTTATGTAATTGCATTTTCTTATCTTTCAGGCTCCTCAGACTTTTCATTGTGGGACTGTTGTTGTTGTGGGGGTTGTTCTACCTGTCTGGCCTAGTTGCTTATGCAACTTACAGTAAGTGTGATCCGCTCACCTCAGGGAAGATAACAAAGGCTGATCAAATCATTCCATACCTGGTGATGGACAAGCTGGGTCACATGCAGGGCATGGGGGGGCTGTTTGTGGCAGCTGTGTATGGTGGCGTTCTCAGGTATGTAGTCACCAACACTCTTGGTTAAGGCGGGGTCACACGAGCACTTTTCTTGACGATTGCTTGCTAACATTGTATTGCCGTTAATACAGATGAGAATAGAGTATGAGGCTATCAGCAATTCTTTGGTGGGACATTCTTGTGGTCCCACACATTCCGATTTTCCCTAATTAACTCTTTATAAGGAAGCTTCGGGATCCCGGGTCCAGGGTAATTTTTCCACTTTGCAAGTTGACTAGGACAGTCTCACACAAAAGTTCGCTAACTCTCCCAGCCAGCTATTACTGCACTGCCTGCTTCAGATGTTTGAAACTGTCTCGGTTCCAACCAGAACATGAAACCGATACGAATGAACCTAAAGGTTCGAAGTAATAGACTCAAGTTCATACATCTAAAGCAGGCAGTGCAGCAATAGCTGGCTGGGAGAGTTAACGAACTTTTGGGTGAGACTGTAGTACCAGTAGTCATCTATGAGGTGATGAGGGGAGGGAAGTTTCCAATTTCCACATGTGGCCAATGTAAGCAAACTTTGACTTCAAATCAAGATTCAATACATAACCATTATATGTTTACTAAATTATTATTGTACTTTGCTATGATTTCTGAGGTTGGCAATAAATATCTAGCATGCTCGTTACCGAGAATTCCTCCAAAAAAATTCGAGGTTTTGTGAAATATTGCCAACGATGCAATGTCGGCAAGTAATTGCCAAGACAAGTGCTCGTTGTGATCCTGCTTTATCTTTAATGTTACTCATCTTTCCTTGTTCTTATCCTATTTACTACTACTACTTCTGACAATTAAGTTCGCAAGACAATTAAGTTCGCAAACTCGTTGCGTGGCTCAACAGGTGGCAGGGCTGTAACGAGTGTGAGTGGTGTGCGTGTGACCTTGATCCCTTCACTTACTACCCCAATTGTGTCGTCGATCTCAAGCGAGTCAGACGTGTGCAGTAGCAGCTATTGTATTAGTGTTTTTTAGTTTTGTCGCGATAATAGCAGATATTGTTTTAAAACAAAGAACGAACATCAAATTTCTCGTGAAACGGGGGAAAACTGGGGCTGGAATTCGGGACATGTTAACCCAAGTTTATGGGGTTTAATGCACTAAAGAAAACATCAGTTTACAAGTGTATTAAGTGATTTTCAGATGGAAGAGAAGACGTAACAGACGTTGACAGAGGACGATGACCAACAATGAGTAAGACTGAGGAAAACATTGAAAAAATTAGGAAAGTTGTGCGAGCTAACGGGTGATTGGTGGTGAGAAGCATTGCAGAAGAGGTACAGATTAACAGGAAAACAGTCAGAAGGTCTTGGCTTAAGATTTGAAGATGAGAAAAGTTTGTGCAAAATGGTGCCAAAAAATCTCAGTGACAAACAAAAACAAGGAGTTTAAATTTGCTCAGTCCTTTTGGAAAGAGAAGAAGCAGGAGATGACCTGCTACACTGAGTCATTACAAGTGATGAAACATGGGTACCAATACGACCCTGAAACGAAACGCCAGAGCACTCGGTGGAAAACTGCAAACTTGCCATGCCCCAAAAAGTGTCGCAAGTCAAGTCGAAAGTGAAGACAATGCTCATCACTTTTTTTCGATTCTAAGGGTGTAGTTCACAAGGGAATTGTTCCCCCAGGGCAGGGTGTGAACCAGTTTTACTATCCTGACGTGCTTAAAAGATTCAGAGAAAAGGTTAGACGAAAACGCCCAGAAATTTTTGCTGGAAACAAATGGATCTTGCATCATGACATGCCCCAGCACACACGGTATTGGTTGTGCGGAAGTTTTGTGCCGAGAAACAAATTACTTAGTCACCTGATCTGGCCCCGTGTGACTTTTTGCTATTTCCTTCGCTGAAAAAACACATCAAGGGGATGCATTTTCAAGACGTGGATAACAGAGTAGCACGTCGGCAGCTGTAAAAGCTACTCCAGACAGTGAGTTCCAGAAATGTTTTCCAGGTTGTGGAAGAAACGCTGGCGTTCGTGTATGGCATCACAAGGGGAATACTTTGAAGGGGACCACAGCGCCTATCCTAAGAAAGGTACATACAGGCTCCTGTCGCCTGAGTTTGCGAACTTACTTGTCACACCTTGTATATATATATATTAGTGCAGGAGGCAATGATATTGGCTGGTATAGGAGAGAGAGGAGCACCAAGAAAAGTATAAAGCTGATTTAGAGCCTAGAGGCTGTTGGGAGGAAGGAGGGGGTCACAAGGCTTGCCCACATGGTACGTGATAGTTCTACATCATTATAGAATTATGGTTTAGTGGAGCAGAATACTTAAGCTTAATTTCCTGCTTCCGGCAGTTCCATGTCGTCTCAGGCCAACTCAATTGCTTGTATCATATGGGAAGACTTCCTGAAGGATCAACCATACTTCAAGACCTTCAGCAACACTGCCGCCACCAACACTGTCAAGTTGCTCTGTAGGTATTTACTCTCTTCTGCCACTTGTCGTGTGCTTGTTTTGTTCTATATTTTATGTGTGATGTTCTCACACACACATTTTTAAGGAGTAAATTAATCTTACACCTCACACACACATCTTTCTGGGCTCAAAGTAAAGTGTACAGAGCAGGTTTGAGCACAAGAAGCTTAACTCCTTAACTACAGTACTGTATGTCACTTTTATTATTTGGCTAACGCCAGATAATTTTACTCAACACAGAGAGACCCCTAGTATCCAAGGGGTTAATAATATGTTTGGGAACATAGTTACACAGCTTGATTTACAAACACACACACACACACAAAATAAATAAATAAATACTGAATGTATACCTCTCAGCTGAACTTCCTTACAGAAGACAGGAACATGACATCAAAATTACACAATAGACAGTTTGTAAACGAGCAAGAGACAATTATTTTCAAGTTATTTTACTGTAATCAACACAGCTGCAGTCACAGGGATACTGTCAGTGGGTTGTGGTTTGCTGTCAGGACAACTGGGCTCGCTGTTTAACGTGGCGTACAGCATCAACGGTGCCCTGAAGGGACCGCTAGATGGTGTCTTCCTTACTGGAATTCTTGTGCCTTGGGCCAACAAGAAGGTAATTATTGTACAATTGTATCACAGCATAAATTTTCTTTAATTATCCTATTTAGACCACTGAGAACAAGTACTGGGGCCACATTTACTGAGAGATATTAGGTCAGTGGAAAAGTCCAATGCAAGGTGGCTAAGGTAATCATAGAGTCAAGACTGGATAACACCCGTCTCATATCTGTCCTGGGCTGGGTATTAAATCCAGGACACAGTTGTACAGTTGCGGAAATGTGTTCCTATGCCCCCTGTGGTAACCCGCGTCTCCAAAGAATCAAATCCGTTGTTACATGACCAATACCCATTCAGGGGATGTAGGAACACATTTCCTCAGCTGTGGTGGTGTTGGTGTGCGGATTAGTGGATGTCATGTTTATGACCTGACTTCATGTTCAGTAAGGTCACCCAGTGTACTTAAGCCTCTCTCTGTCCATGTAATTCAGTTGCCTCTGAAGATGTCTTGAATAAAGACGAAAGCTAAGGTGCTCCATTGTTTCCCCTTTCCCTGTGTGATTTTATCAAGATTTATCTTATCCATGTCTTCATTGTGGATCTACATGAAATATATACATATGTGTGTGTGTGTGTGTGTGTGTGTGTGTTTTGTACTTGCATAAGTATTTACAATAATGTATAATCTTTCAGGGTGCATTAGCTGGGCTGATCATATCATCTACTTTCAACATGTGGCTGGTGATTGGCAAGTTTATCCAAGGTGGTGGCACACCTCCATACCTTCCTCTCTCTACTGAAGGTTGCCTTGTAAATGGCTCACATCCTTTACTTATCAACAGTACTACAGCCTACAGCTTCCCTAACTCTCCCACCACCACAGTTCCTTCATCCTACACCTCTACAGGCATCAATCCTGTCGCCAGCACTCATAACCCTCAAATTGAAGCAATAGATGTCAGGTTAGTTCTGATCTCTAGTGTGATTGACATAAATGTTTGATTATATATATTTATACATATATATATATATATATATATATATATATATATATATATATATATATATATATATATATATATATATATATATATATATATATATATATATATATATATATATATATATATGCAAGTATATCACTGTAGGTATCGTGATCTAATATATGCTATAATACAATAAAGAATATATACGAAGTTCCCAAGCGCTTTCGTATATTACATCTTCAGGGGTGAGTACAGAATAGGTAACACTTTTAAGTTCAGTATTTATAGAAAACCTACTACCTTAATGTGTGTTCATACATTCATTATTATTCTGCCCACCATAATAGAGTCAAACAGTCAGTATTTTCAACAATGTTTTTACGTGCTTTGAGAATTTGCAGTCCGAAATTCATTGATGAGGAATATAAATATATCTATAATATTGGCTCAAACCTTAAATACCCTAGATCTTTCATAGACAAATGCCTAAACATTACTAAGAAAACTTTTTATAGAACTGATCCCAAGCCCACCCATGACCATAAGAATATCTTAATATTACCATTTCACAAAAATTTCTCACACATTCCTTTACAACTAAAAACCTGGAACGTCAATGTGGCATTTAAAAACTCATGCACTGTTAAACAAATGTTAATCAAGAACTCCCCCAACAACACAATTGGTTGCATTTATAAAGTTCCTTGCAAGGAATGTAATATGTTTTACTTAGGCCAGACAGGTAAAGATCTTGTAACTAGACTTAAACAACATAAATATAGTGTTAGGACAGGCCAGGAATCCAATGCTCTGTTTGTTCATTTGAGGGATAACAAGCATTGCATTGACTGGGATAATGCCTCCTCAATATTACCTTGTAATTCAATTGATAGTAGGAACATCATAGAATCTAGTCTCATTAAACATACCGAAGCATTCAACATGAATTTGAGTAATGGCATGTACAAACTGGACAATTTTGTAATTAAGAAGATTTGTAACCAGGTGAGAAGGTTGGGTCACCTTACCCTCTGACCTGACTACCGACCGTTGGGGTGCTATTTAAAGATTAGTAGGGTCATTACCTAATACCTGACCATTGTGGACCTGGTCTCACCCTCCTCTGTATATATACACCTTGTTTTGTACTTTTCTTTAGTCTGTACTCACCCCTGAAGATGTGAATTACACAAAAGTGCTTGGGAACTTCATGTTTTCTTCTTTCCTTGTGGTTATCAGCATATACTTAGATCACGCGCACCTACAGTGATTTACTTATATATATATATATATATATATATATATATATATATATATATATATATATATATATATATATATATATATATATATATATATATATATATATAGTTATGACAGTGTGTAGTAAAGCAGACAAGGCAAATTGAGAACTGTTACCAGAAAGCTTTATTTTCAAATTTCACTTTGTGTCATATGCTGATCATAAGTACCCCTCAACAGTTCTACCAGCCACACCATCTATGACATCTCCTACTGCTACAGTGGCATTATGGGTGTCATCATCACCATGGTGATCAGCAGCCTTGTCTCTCTCTGTACAGGTATGTCATGCCTAGTAGGCCTTACTTTTGAAACAATTCAAGACTTCTTACTACAGTATTTGCAACTATTTATGCTTTTTCTCAATATAAAAAGGAGACAAAAATGTCCTATCTTACCCTTCGTGCTGTAGCTCACAATGCCCTATATTTAAGCATAAATTGATTTACATAATACAATAGAGGATTATATATTTAGCTTCATTCTATTACTGTACAGTATTAGTTACTCGTGCTTAGAATGAAACAGTAATAGAAAGCTTTGAAGGCAAATACAAAATAATGCAAATAAGAAAGAAGGCTAAATATTGTTTGAAATAACACAAATTTTAAATGACTGACTGTTCTTCAACTCATAAGTAGTTTGTGCAGTTATATGTAACTTTAACAATTCATACCCAACAAAGTACTCAAACAAATGTCATCAATGATTTATTCTTTCAGTTCCATCTCATTTTCATCCACTTGACATTATATACAGTTCTTTGGTGTCTGATATTTTTAACTTTGCAGCACTGTAATAATTAAGTTCTTATCCAGCTTGCTGAACTCTAGTACTTTTTACTTTTATCCTCTTCACCACTGATCGGCTCGTTAGCCGCTTGGGCGATCGGTCACATCTCTGTTACTTTTCTTTTTACTTTTATCCTCTTCACCACTGATCAGCTCTTTAACCGCTTGGACGATCGATTACGTCTCTCTTATGCACTGTTGGCAAGTACTGGGCATGCACCAGCTCCTGAATGTACAGTACCTGAACCTGCTCCAGTGTTGGTCAAGTCTGGCCTTGAAAGAGCTCACGCTTGGTGCCGTCACAACACTTTCTGGTAGATTGTTCCAAGAGTTCACAACTCTCACTCCGAAAACGTTTGCCCTCACAGTTTTCTTGACCTGCGGCTTCTTCAATTTTGGTCATGGAATTTTCCACAGCATGGCACAAGATTAGCCGACTGGGATTTGGTGTGCGGTTATTATTGATTATAATAAGACTGAAACTTTTTATTTTTTTACTCTCCAAAATTCTGACCAACTTCCGGAAGTCGTGTTAGATGGTCTGGATCCGCCACTGCCGTACAGTGGTCCCTCGGTTAACAAACACAATTCGTTCCACAGAGTCGTTCGTTAACCGAATCCATTGTTTCAATGGGATATTGGGTAATTGGTTCCAGCTCACAGAAAAGTGCATACAAAGTAAAAAAATGCAGTAAAGTGCACTTACTTTGAGGTGTGTATGTAGAAGTTTCCTGGTTGATGATGATGATGGGAATTAGAAGTGGACATGGAGAAGGTAGAAGAGAAGGAAGTGGGGATGGAGGAGAAATCACCTTTCAGGGGACCCATGCTTGATGCAGAATTTCACCAATAAAATTTTAAGTTCACTAGGTGTAATTCAAGATTATTTTATTTAAATCAACACTGCACTTTGCTATATATTATCAATATGTTAACTAAATTTCAGAATGACCAATAATTTTAATGTAAAAATGCAAAAATATTCAAGACGCCAACAAAATCGATGTTCACTCCACTGTAAACAAAGCCAAACTGACGCCTGGTGGGTGAGTCAAGTGGCTGATGGGCGCACAAAAAACTAGTTCCCTCTACTGCATATATTATCAATATGTTTACTAAATTTTAAAATGACTAATAATTTTAATATAAAAAATGCAAAAATATTAAAAAGCACAACTTTCTTGATACTTACTCCACTGGAAACGAATGTAAACATAGAACAGATTACTGAATTGGCAGACTAGCCCATCAGCTGATGCTCACAACAAAACGTGTTTGTTGGAAGGATTTCGTTAATCGAAGTTTTGTTCGTTAACCGAATTGATCCTTATGGGAGGTAATTCATTAACCGAAATTTCGTTAATCGAACCGTTCGTTAACCGAGAGACCACTGTACTGTATTGTATATTAAGGATACAGGTATTAATAAGCACAGATTATTACAGTAACACATCTTTACAGTACTAATTAGTGAAAAAAAAATAAATATTGTATCATGAATGAGGCAACTTTACTTTTATCCTCTTCACCGCTGATCGGCTCGTTAGCCGCTTGGGGGATCGGTCACGTCTCTGTTACTTTTCTTTTTCTTTTATCAACTTCTAATTGTGTTAGAGAGATTAATTTGATACCATAATGATCTTGAATAAATAATCGGAGATGTTTCCAGTATGATATCCTAAAACAAAATATTTTGACATGGTATGGCGATTCTATTCATTTATAAAAAAAAAAAAAAACTAAGAAATATTGATGATACCAAAGTCAATAAAATCAGTTCTAATTTAGTTAGACATAATTTTTTACCCAAATAATCCTGAATACTTTATCTAAAAGTTTCGTTAAATAAAACCTTATTTTATGGCATATACCTGGTAAGACACCCCCATTTTAGCAGGGAGTATTTTGGAAACTTTTGTGTGGATTTGCTCCTGTAGCCATAGTTTTCTTAAATAATATATACAGTACCAGTAAATGTGAGGAATATATAAAAATAATACCAATAAATAATTTACCCCAAAAAATACTTTATTGTCAAACCAGTCAATAAAAGCCAAATGAAAGTTTAACAGTCAACATTAGCAAATACAGTACTTTCTGGTTCAGCATAGCAATGCAGACGCCACCTCTGCCAATTCCCTAGCAACGCTACCCCCCCCCCTCCCCACACACACGTCCCGCCTCCTCCCGCTCCTCCAGCGAGGCAGCTAACTTGTGTACGAAGAAATATACTCCCTTTATGAGTCTGCCCTTAGGACAATAATTTATTTTACTTTTTTCACAATATGTATGTAGGATGGTGTGTGCATGTAACTGAGTAAAAATAAATGAAGAAAGTTGCATATATCTACCCAAAAATACGAAATGAAAAACAACCATAACACCAGTAGCCTGATGGTTATAGTGATGAGTCTAACCTGGCTACAATTCTGCCAGCAATATTAACAGACACAAATGTGAAAAGAAAGTTAGATGTAAATCTTCATTTGTATCAGGTATTTGAAAATTTAAAAATAAATGTTGCAGGTATGGCATAGTAACAATTCAGGAATGGCTACTGCATAGCTACCTTTGAAGAGTTGGGTGTCTGCTGTACGGACGTTAATCGACTCGGGTTATTTTTCACACTTAACAGGAAAATTTCCGCGAGTCTAAATGATGTAATTCACAGGAGCTATATCTATTTATGCAAACACCACTGTACACGTACAATATTGTTCATACTGTAAACAAAATAATGTATACTGCTCTACTACTATACTGTATATACTGTACCCACTAGCAGACACTGTTCATGCAGCTGACTGTAATGCTTAACTGTAGTCACATCTTAATACTTGTGATGGAGGTTGGGTGGGAGATTATTAAGTCCTGTTACTGACCTGACCTGATGCAATATCAGGTCACCCATTGTTAGGGTGGGGGATTAGTGTGTCTCATGATCTGAAGATATCTTGAATAAAGATAAATGGTAAGGTGCTCCAGTGTTTCCCACTTACTGAATGTACAGTATAGTATATTGTACAAGTACATAAATGTAATCACTTTTTACATTCTTAACGATACTTTAATACTGTATTCGTCACTGATTTTGCTCTGGTACAATAATGTACAGCACTGCACAACACAAATTGTACACAAAAGCAGCAGCTAGCAAGGGAATAACCTTCTACAATGGCAGCAGAATATGAACTCGGTGATCCAAGCACCTGAGCCACCCATGCGCCTGACATGTGGGGATGGGTTGGAGCATGATGCAATCTTTTGGAATGCCCTGAAAATTTATTCTCAGACCCAGAAATAAAAATGTGTTAAGATTTTTCAGAATTTTCCTTGGAATTTTCAGAAAATGCACCTGATTTTCAACCTCAGAATTTGTTCCCAAACCTGGAATTCCGAGAATTTTCCACAAAAAATCCAAACAAATTTCAATTCTGGCTATTGGAGAGTTCCAGGTTTGAGGGATTCTGGCTAACGGAGATAATACTTATAATATTATTACTGCACAGGTATAAAATATTGATAAAAGCTTGGAGAGAGCAGTTTGTTCTTTTTATTATTTGTGTTTCAGTTTTATAATACAGGACTGTGATGGTAAATGATTCATTGGATCATGTCTTTGCAGGCCCTGTTGCTCCAAAGAATGTAAACAAGAAATTGGTAAACTTGACGTGTGCCAGACTGCATCATCAACTGTGGCAACTCTTGCCCAATCATGACTCTTATAGCAATGACATGGAGGATAAAGTTGCACCTAACTTGACCACATCAGCCAGCACTGGTCTTGATGATGTTCAACAGCTGACCAAAAAACAAACTGGAAGCAGAGAAGATTACCCCAACCTGTGACACTCAAGTAGTGATAATAATCCCAAGATCTAAGGACTACTGTACACAACACTTGACACTCACAGAATGACAGTAACCACAAGATTCATTTTCTGTAATCTGGTTGGTAATGATACTGAGATAATACAAGGACTAATCCAAGTTGGTAATACTCTTGTAGTAACTGAAATAGAGATTCAGGTACCAATGAAATTAAATGCACTTAAGTAATGATGAAAACTCACAGATCCAGGGACTGTATACCATTTGATAACACTTATGGCATGACAAGTGATGTGGACATTTAAAGATCCTTAACTGCTTGAGGACTGTTAATCTGCTGAGGCATTTAATGGTAATGGTGACCTGAAACTCAAGAGATTGTGTAGTGTTGTAAGACAACAGTACAAATTGCCCTCATTACTGTTTTATCTTTGGCCTTACTGTTGCATGTGAATAAACAGTAATTGTGCCTTTTTATAGTAGTACACTTAAGGACAGATTGCATTTCACATAGTATAATAAGCATTATTTTTATGTACTTTGATATACAATTTTGAACTCTTGCACACTAAATGGATTCAGGAAACTGTTGTATATATATATATATATATATATATATATATATATATATATATATATATATATATATATATATATATATATATATATATATATATATATATATATATATAGATAGATAGATAGATATATATAGATATATATATATATATATAGTGACCTGAGTTGAAATTTGGGATTAACGAACTGCCAGGATCTTCAATTCGGTTAACGAACAAAAATTCGGTTAACGAATTTCTTACGAACCGACCTCAACATGTTTTCACTTGCACTGGCCGGGCAACCAGCTTTAGTATCAGTCCGCCAATACATTAATCGGTTCTAGGGCTTAAATTCCTAACTATTTTAGTAAATATCAAGAAGTTTATACTATTCAAAAATTTTAAAAGTTTAATATTCAATTTTTTAGTCATTTTAACAATCATTGAACATAATTGAAGGTAAAGTTACTAGTTTAAAGCGCAGCATCCAGCCTCTTAACACAGCAAACAGGCGTTAGTCTCTCTGTTTTCACTGGAGGTAACATCTTGCTTGAGACTCTCTTCAACTTAATGCTTTTTTTCTGTGTTTCCAAGCAAATTATGGGTCATTTTGAAATATATTTTACATATTGACAATATATAATGCAGTACAGTGTTGATTTAAAGAAAATAATCTTGAAATACACCAAGAGAACTAAAATTTTATGGGTGAAATGGTGCCATGGGGTGACTTCTCTTCCACCCCAATGCCTTCTCTTCTTCCTTCTCCTCCACCCCCATTGTAATTCCCATCATCATCATCATCATCATCATCATCATCCAGGAGCCTTCTACACTTACATACACCTCCAAAAGTAAGTGAGAACTTTTCTACCATTTTGTTGAATTTAGGAAATTACCGGTGAGCTGGAACCAATTACCCAAAACCCATTGAAACAATGGTTTCGGTTAACGAACTTTTAGGTTAACGAGCGACCGCTTTACTGGAGCAGTTGAGTTAGATTAACCGAGATCCTAACATATATATATATATATATATATATATATATATATATATATATATATTTATATATATATATATATATATATATATATATATATATATATATATATATATATATATATATATATATATATATATATAGATGATAGATGAATAGATGATATATATATATATATATATATATATATATATATATATATATATATATATATATATAGATATAGATATAGATATAGTATAGATATGATAGATATAGATATGAATATATGAATATATATATAGATATGAATATATATATATGTATATATAGATATAGATATATATATATACAAGGAAATGCTGTTCTGAAAACATCATATAACTAGCTATATAAAACATTACAATATGTTAATTTCATTTACCTTTGGTAGATGACATTCCATAGCGTTTCTTAGCGCCACAAACACCCGTCACTAGCCGAGAATTCTCGATGCCCATATGACTTGGCTTAACAGCAGCAGCTTGTATTTCTACCACGGATGACATTACTACAGGATCGTTGCTGCACAAACCATAGTTACTGCCTCCTCCAAGATTTGTATCTTTTGCCACTCTCATGTGATGATTTAGAAGTTGCATCAACATTATATTTCAAAAAATGCAATGAGTTTGTCCTTAGCCTTTGTTTTGTCGAAACTGTTTGCTTTTTAACACCATATGAATCACAAACTCTAGACACGAAGCACCAGCCTCTAACTTCCTATAAGTTCCAGTTTCTGGTTCACAGAAAAGGGTCACATACTTCCTCTTAAGCGTTTTACTCCCCTTGAAGACATGATGTAAAAATACAAGGCTGAAAGATGCCTAATCACTGAAATATCAACGAAAAGTGCAGGGCATCACAACACTGATACTCAAATATGGTGCGAGGCCAACAATGACTGGCGTGACTCCCGAGGCGCTGAGGCAGCTGCGTGACCCATCTATCGGACAATCCCAGAACCATAAATTTGGTATGGACTCGTCTATAACCCTCCCTCGTTTATAGGTGGCCCTGATTTTTTTCCCAAAAATAGTTAATTTATGATATTCATTGTTTTTATAGATGGAAGCCCAAGTTTTTGAGGTATTGGAACAACAAAACCTTCAGTAAATCACTCTCGTCCTATAAACTGAGGCTCGCCGTGCCTGAAACACCGAGTGCGAAGGCAAATTGTTTACCATTTATTATTCGACTTTACACTGAAAGCATGGTAGTATTTATTTAGGTCCATTAGGAGGAATATTGGCATACAACAGTTTTTAACTGAAAACCATTCGGTAAAATCTTTTGAACAACGAAAAAGCGCAAGTCATTGTTTCGTCATGGTCTTGTCCACTTTCCACTGTGATCGTCGTAATTTCAGAAAAATATTGCATTTCCATATTTATTTCTGAGAATATATTCATTCAGTCACAGTTAAGGTAAAATATACTTGTGATGTAATATTTTAATGAAAATACCGGTATTTAAAAATACGGTATCGTAGTTTTTCTTTTGTTTCAAATTTAATTAACAAAGATTGATGTTTCAAATGCAATGAACAAAAGATTTATGTATCTATAAATAAATTTAAAAAAAGATACTTTGTTTTACATAGTCCTGTGGTACCATACCATGCATTTGGTAGTTACTGGTAAATATTTTTCAACATAACGAAACTATTACCCGTTTAGAGGTCGACCCCCAATTTTTTGCCAAAAAATTTGGGGTCCACTAAACATGTAGCTATGTGTATGTATGTTTATTTGAGTGCCCAGTCATAGGAGTCCGTTTTCTCTAGCTTCAGGACGCCTGAGTCTTCTGTTTTCTCTCTTAATCTTAGAGTGCACCAGAGACTTTGTTAATCCTTAGTGATGACACAGAATTTGAAATTGCAACCCCAATTGCAACTGGGACAATCCCAGAACCAGAAATTTGTTACGGACAGTTCAGATTTCGTCCGATTTATCCGAAATCCGGATTAAAGGGGTCCGAATTAACGAGGATCGACTGTGTGTATATATATATATATATATATATATATATACATACATACATACATACATACATACATACATACATACATACATACATACATATATATATATATATATATATATATATATATATATATATATATATATATATATATATATATATATATATATATATATATATATATATATATATATATATATATATATATATATATATAAACTTCATTTTTAGTCCGTATAACACGCGGACTTTGAACATATAATCAACGACCTCACCAGCCAGGATTCGAACCCTCAACCTACTGGGTGGGACTAGGGAACGCTACCGACCAACCCACAAGGACACTAAAAACAGTACTAGGCTCTGTTATATTTCACACAAAGCTTGTTCATCGAGCTGATGGCGCCGTGAACCTCATTGGGAACTGCCCGTGCCTCGTATGTCCCAGCCAGTACAGTACAGTCCTGATCCTTATCTATATGGCAACCTGTGGTGTAATGGTCAGCATGCTCGCCTCACAAGCGAGCGGACCTAGGTTCGATCCCCGGACAGTGTGAAACTATGGACAAGTTTCTTTGCGCCATTTGCCTCTGTCTACCGAGCAGTAATTGGGGACCTGGATGTTAATTGATTTGCGGATTGTGTTCCGGGGTAATGGTTAGCCAATGCAGTTGACGAGTTATCCAGTCTTCTCAGACTATTCCTTGACACTGGGTCATGCAAATTGTTAACTTAGGGTGTGGTTGTTGTGTTGGCAACAGCTTCTACACCTTAAACAAGGGGCAACCAATCTATATACAGTATATTTATACAACTTTATTTCTAATTGGTGAAGCCTGGTCTACCTGGTTTTCCTTTTACTCTACAAGTACTTGGGCCAGCAACATGCCCAACAATCCCAGTCAAGATCAGGCCATTTACATTTTCTCATTGAATCAAAAAATCAAGCTAATGAATCAAATACAGTAGATGAGCATTGAGAAGGAACCAGATTTGACAAGGATGGATGGAAGGGGGGATAAAAACGTAGACTACACAGTTGTATTATACTGTACTATATGGGTTTAATCTGGGGAGAAGAAATTGGTTCTGAAAGACCTGGACTTTTTATTTCTGTATTTTAAATTGTGTTTTCATTATAAATTCATTTAAAATTTGTTAATAAAATAACTTACACAATATATAGTAACATTGATTTCATAAATATAAAATACTGTACTGTATAAAGAATAACTAGATAACTTGGAAATGCTTTATAGTGGGAAGAATGTTTGGGGGTTTTGCTTTTCTTTAGTCTAATTACCTCGCACAACAATGGAAAACTCAAAATGAAAAGCAAGTGACAGAATAAAATCAATCGTGATTTGTTATGAGAAAATGAAACATCAAAAGAAGTATGAAAAACGATCAGAAAAGAACAGCAAAAAGAAAAAAAAGAAAGTACAGTTCACCATATTTCTGAAGGGTATACAATTTGATTCTCCTCCCACAGAGTACAGTATTGTATATGGTATTTTATTATTATATTTGTTTAACTAATACTGTTTAAAATAATTAAGGTTCACCTTCATGTTCAAGATGAACATCTACTCTATGGTACCATACTACAAAAGGAGTTAATTCTGACAATGCAGTTGAAGAAATAAACTCTGAACTCAACTTAAGTTCTAGGACAGGATGGGTACCTTCATAATAATGAACATTACAGATTAAGTTTGGAGATAAACTTGTGCATATTCATTAATATTTCCTGACAAAATGGGTTTGCTATTTGAGAGGTTGAGATAAGAATGTCTAGCTACCTCAGAGCACTTGCTTTAATGCTAAAGGCCCTCATCCTAAGTTAAATAAATCAGGAGATTCAGCTGGTTTAAAATATTCAGTAATATAAATGAGTTCAAACTTAGCTTAAGCTTAAAGGCCACATCTGTCTCCTGTTGCATGAGGTCCAGTGATGCAAGAGTAGCATAGTAGCTGAATTTCATTTGTACAGGTTGAGGTCAGAGTCAGGGTGAACACTTATCCTATGGGTAGAGCCCTTGCTGATAAAGAAGGTCAAACAGTGTGGCAGGAGCAGTACAAACAAGAAATGAATGGAGAAAGAAAATATATTCTAGAAAAAATAAATAATCCTTAATTATAGTGAACACTTGTTTTAGGGGAAGAGTGATGGATCTACTTCTCACAACATTGATATACAGTACTGTATATCACATTCACAACCTTTTATGCTTCACAATGGGATTCTTACAGTGGAATAGCTATCATGTTACATATTATTTCTAATATCACTGAAAAATAAATTACAAACTGATGGCTAAACATATAATTATGGTGGCAAGAAAATGTTTACCATTTTGTTTTTTTAATTTGCTATCCTATAAATACAGTAAGATTCTGCTGAATTAGTAATTGATAAATGAGAATTTGGTTGTAATGAGTTTAGTGTTTGTGGCATGAAAATTCAATAACCAAATTGTTACAGTGTATAATTTCACAAGAAAAAGCTTAAGAATAATGATGCTTGTCAATTACTTTATGCTGTATGGAAAGAAAATGAGTACAAGTGCATTAACAGGGTCCCTTACCTCACTGATAAAAAACAACTATTGCCAGTCACCAACACCACAGCTTCCTGCCGCATGCATTTTAGATATTTTTACAGTGAACATAATTTTGCTTTGGTATGCTTTAATCAGGATTTGGTAATACCGTACATGTATTGGTTTGATCTGTCAAAACACATTAAATAAATTTCATCAATAACATTCCTTCACAACCATCAACACAATTACTTCTCTTCACATACATATGCTGCTGATTTAGTTTGTTTATGCTCATGTAACTTTGATAATATCCATCCACCAATCACCTCTCAGACATGATGACTAGGAAACAGAATTAATTTATAAGTTTAAGGTTCTGTCTTTTTTTTAAGTAAATCAATATTGGCTGGACTAAGAATAAACTAAAGGGAAAAATAAGTGACGAGTACAGCATTTGCTTTGCTGGGGGTCCAAGCAGGCATGAGAGGAGTCTTTCACTCAAATTTTGCTCTTTAAATTGAATAGAAGTTCATCATTTATCAACTGTTATTTACTCAGAAAAATACAGATATAAAGTGAAAAATAACATTATTGCCATGGCTCAGCCTTAGTAAGAGTCAGTGCACTCTTAGAGGCACCTGAAATATACAGTACTAAGGTCATTAAATTTAATTTTTGTTCACTAGTTACTCATTTTGAAGTGCCTCACTATATTATGATGTATCTATTATCTGTATCTTTACTGTGGAACGAAAGTAAATATTATTGGACTTTCAGCTTTACATCATTTATGCAATTTTCATTTTCACTTTGGACACAACTGAATTACAACTTACTGTTCAGTTTTTCATAATTGTAATCTCAATGTAGATATATAAATTCTAACTTACTGTAATGAATGCTGGAATGGGGAATCTAACAACTCACTTCCATAAAAAATAAAATAAATTAATAAATATCCTTCCTGAAAAATCTACAAGACTTGTCCTTTCACTTTTCAAATTTTTTTAGTTAAAAACAATCCTTCTCAGCTTACTTCCATAACTGAAATAACCTGAAATTCATACACTCCATAAAGTTACTGTCACAACACTTACATATTATAAGAGTAAATTATCAAAGAAAGGTTGGTACTGAATGCATAATACGTACAGTACTGTGGATAGTAAAAAATATTTAAGTAACAAAACAGTTAGTGTACACTCGCCACAAAATGTTCTTTAACAGCTGGGCACTACAGTTTTCAGAATGAGCACTATGGATCCTGTCATCTCTGAATGGTTGATATGCCTGGTTGTGAAATTACTCTATATTTCGTAATAATATATGTTGCTCATCTTTATAGCAATTACAGGTTGAAAAGAAGCACATGTAATTTAATTTGCAATAAAACTTCCTCGGAGAGAAATCTTCAGATTTGTTCATTTTGTCATATTGTATGACCGTTAGAGCATTTGAGAACTTTTTGTGGTGAGTTTACATCAGATTAAAGACTGCACATTTGACAAAAATAAATTACTGTAAAATAGCTTTCCTTTTGATTCTAGACTGCTCTAATACAGTTTGGGTGAGGGTTTTGTTGAGTCTTGACTACTGTGCCCAGTCCCCACTGTGATGGAGGACACTCAACTACAGGGTCAGCACTGGCCAACACTTCCACCTCAACAGTCATCTGGGTAAAACCTGCTTCTTGAAGAATTGCAGTCACCTGAAAATTTAAAGGATGGGAACTATAAAGTCATATTCTATTGACACAGCCTACCTAACTAGGGACATGTCTTGCTATATTCACTACATCAAGGAGTCATACTAAATTTACACACTTGCCTAGGAGAACATTACCTTGCCCCCTTCGAAATCAATGATATGGAAACTGGTGACGCAGTTCAGAGAAACAGGCTGCGTGAAAGTTATATAACACATGCGCCATCCAAATGTTGTTGCACTCTGTGTAACATGTTGTAAAGAATAAATTTATGCCAGCAACATGGTGGTGGACACTTTCAGCACTTCATTTAAGGTAATTAATTGTGGATCATATCACATCTCTGTAATATTACGCTACATTTATGCAAAATATTAGGTTCATAACTGATATAGTTTTTAGCTTATTGGCCTGTTGGTGGTACAGCGGTAATGCACATAACTCACCAATATGTCAAGGGTTTGAGCCTTGCCCGAGACACACTTGAGAAGGGTGTTATCCAGTGTGACCCTATCAAACAACACAGGTTTCCCAGTCCCCGGTATCCTCCTGTTCTAACACTGGATAGTAGAGCACTCAAACGGCAAGTAAGCTAAGTGAAAAAATATATATAATATTGTACTCCTTGCCAACTATCCTTTAACCCTTTGACTTTGATCAATGTTTCCTCTGGGAATCCCTCCAGAGGACAGAATTTTGCCTGCTATTCTCCAACTTACGTTATGAATAATACGTTGTTCTGAAATGTCACTTGAACACTGGACCACTATTGTTGACACATGTATGTCTCCAGAGTGTTGCCAAAACCGAGGATCCTTACAACTCACAACGTGTTCTATTTCAAGGATCTGTTGGAGAAAAGGTTTTAATGCACTTCTTAATAAAGTTAATTACTATCTGTACTAACATTAAACTGTATAGATTAAAATGTTTATTGTCCATAACTACTAAAGATATGAGTTCAGTTTTACAAACACACTAACCTTATCTATACAGGTTTTGGCAGCTGCCTCAATTCCAGTTGGTACCCTTAATAAAAGTACTGATGCAGAGTCCTTCAACAGTGGTAAAACTGATGCTAAGATGAGACCAGACAAGACCAGTGAGCAAATAGGATCAGCTATCAGCCAGCCATACCAATCAATAAGTAAGGAGGAGATGATTACTGCCACACTACCAAGAGTATCAGCCAATATGTGCAGGAATACACCTGCAAATTTAAAAAAATGTAAATGCTATATCCAGTCTTCTTAGAGGAAGCAAATACTGTACAGTACTACATTCAAACTTATAAAATATTTTAAATTATACAAATTTAAATATTACAACTGACCCTAAAATGATCTACTAATGTACAGTATAACTAAATGACTGTACTGTATCTAATATTTAATGCAAAATGGGGAAAGCATATTAATTCCCATAACTTGGACAATATTTGCTTCCAAATAGTCGACGATCGGCAAACCAACACAATGCTAAAAAAATTGCTGGAGGATTCTACATAATAGAAAGATTATTCATGGTTACACAAGTAAGGTACACTAAGAAATCTGGACTGCAAATTGTTAGCTTCATATTTTTAACTTTGTTTCTAATGTTAAAGCAGTCCTCTTTTACTTCATTGATAGATAAATAAGGGGGTTAGGAGATATACTAGTGACTAGAAGGCTGCTTACATGATATTACACTCATCCATGCATTACAAGATAAGATGTGAAGCTGTGTGGGCTGCCTCATGTGGCGACTCACTGCTCCCACAAAGCTTCAAGTGGCTCATATGCATAATGGACTGCACATTTGCCAACACTTGTTTACAAGAGCTTCATTAATCCAATTTGGCCAATTACATAATTATATTTTTTTCTGGCACAAAGTCCAAGTGGTAGAAATAAAGTCTTTGCAAAATAGCAAAGTTATCTTAAGTTAAGCCACATAGAGCAAGAGCCACCTGTGTTGCAAATTAAAAGCAAATTCTTTTAGTCCATTTTAATAGACACTCTTAATTCTAGAAACTGAGTTGTTACCTTCTGGGTTAAAATAGTAACAAGGACACAAGCTTTAATTAGCCAAGTGAGCTTCACTAAGATACGGTAATGGGATAGATTGTTTCTAAAGCTAAATATGGCAATGAAAACAAAACCAAAACAGATTAAAAAACATCACTTACCTTGCATGTTAGCATTAACATTATGGTTGTGCTTGTGAGTGCCAACTTGATGACCATGACTACCATTATGACAATGGTTCTGGCTGCTGACATGTGAGTGTCCATGGGAATGAGTGTGACTGCAATTAAAACATCAAAATGTAAACCAAATTTATAGTCACAATCCAAAATTCAGGAATCCATTATGTCAAATTTATACATATAAAAACATAATGTTTTTAGCCAGAAAGAAAAAATATTACAAAAAGATGCAGATGTTGAGTGATAAATACAGCATATGTTATACTCAGGGTGTACAGTAAGGTAGACTGTCATTGTAAATTATAAAAAATGGAATACAAAATAATTAAAAATCTGTAAAACATTTAAAAAATTTCAGTCAGAATTATCTACACTAAATATCCATACTAGTGTGTATACCATCACATGAGTTGTTACCTAAAGGACACAATGCCAAAAAGGTTAACAATTAATCCACAAATGGCAACTGCTAGTAATCTCTCGGTGTGTACTTGAGGTGGCTCCCAGAGTCGTCCAACAGCCTCGTACAGTACCATTAAACCAATCTGCAGGGAGCAATATTTAAAAAATGGTTTGTGGGACAAAATTCATTCACCAAAGACTAATTTTTAATAGTCTGCATATACAATACACACTATGTGACCCTTTTCAAATGAATATTCAGTATGGCAAATATAAAGACAAAGAAATCAGTACAGTACAGTAAGTCAAATCCAATACAATGAATCAGTTATTAAGTTTTTGCAAGTGATTTATCCTGTTGGACTGAGATATCATAAAGCCTATAGTATAAGACTAAGCCATATTTAAAGCCATTCTTGCTTTAGATGTGTATTTATAAATAAATCATAAACATTTTAGACCAAGTAGTGGGAAAAATATATATATATTTTTTAAGTAATACAATAGCTTACCACAGTTAAGAAGAGACCATTCACAAATCCAGAAAGTACTTCAATTCTCCCATACCTGTAACATGAAACAGTCCTTATTTGAAAATCTCAATTTCCCCACACCATTTGAAAGTGTATCATTTGTGATGGGAACTAGGTAGTCAGCTTGTTCAAGGAACAAGTTATTCATTATGTTTATTCTTTTTCATCTTACAAGTGTTATGTTATGTTTGTATTATGTTTGTTTGTGATATATAATGTTGTAGGTTATATAGTATATTGTTGTATTGTAAATTTTGTATTACTTGTGTCAATGTTTACATCCTTGTAGTGAGTAATAAACAACCTGGCAACTCTGTGAGGTTAGTTGGTAGGTCTACCAGTAGGAGTGACTTACTCACTCCCTGACTTCTTGATGTGTTGTTCTGACTGGCTCTGCCCTGTGCTGTGTACATGTATCCAGTGTCTCTGAGGGTTTTGTGTTTGCGCTACTGAGTGATCACCTCACAGCTAAGTTTACTTTGTGTATATGGATTAGGATTAAAATTACAGTATAATGTATAATGTGATAGGTAACACTTATTCCATGTTCTAATTGTAAGAATAGAAGTTCTTGTCTTTTTGTCCTGGGTGTTGTTTCTCAGTTGTAGTTGATGTACTTTCATTTTCAACTTCCTGTGTATATAGTGTAAATATGTTTACTAATTAATATATTATAGCAGTTTCTAGTGTATTATGAATACTGTATTCCAATCCCCGTTTATCTTCTTTTGTGATTTCATGTTGTGGAACATTAAAATAACCCCTAGACAAGTATGTCCCATAACACATTTCATATTAATAACTGTAATGTATCACAGCTTTATACAGTATAGGCTGGGTATCCCTTATCCAAATTCATATCCCAAATCCGAGACCCTTAAGGCCCCAAGCATTTCGGATAAAGGATACCCAACCTGTATTTGATTTAGTTCCATATGAAAATATGTTTTAGCAATAAAACACACAGGAAATAATAGGAAATAAAGGAATTTGAGGAGAAACTAAGTAGGATCTGATAATTCAAAGATAGTGTTGTAAGATGAGCAAAGCAGAGGAGTGTTGTAAAAGTAGAAAGGAGATACTGTAGTACAGGTTGTACCTCTCTAGTCCGGCATTCTGTGGTCCGGAAACTCCCGTGGTCCGGAACGATTTTAGTTTGTCCAATAGGTAGATAGGCAGCTTTTTTTTTTTACTTATCTGAATTATTATTATCACAGGAGTATTAAATTTTTGCCCCTCAGGCCCTAATGTGGGTCAGTTACCTATTCCCGGGTGGGCTAATCCCCTTAAAAAAAAAAAAGCCGCGGGAAATTAAGGTTTGTTTACATCCGGCAGTTCGGCTGCTCTCTCTCTGCTTGTCTATACAGAGTACAACATTTAACCCTTCAATATATATGAGCAGTAAATAAGTGTTGCTTTCATATTCTTATGTAGAGTAATGACAATATATTTTCACATGTGCGCACTTACATACGAGCAGTCACGCTTTTTTTTTTACCATTAATGGTTAGCTACTTATATTGTTCCATTTATTAACATTAAATAACATTACAGGTACTTCAAGCAACCATATTCATTTTTTTACATTAATTTTACTACAGCTAAACTCAGGGTCTTATTTTCTTCAGTTTTATATGTAGAACCAATCAGTCACTGGTTTCGTAAGCTTTAACATAAACAATGCCGGTAGCCGTCTCGTCTCCTCTAATATTCCACGTATTATTAATAAATTGTATTGTTAATTTTGTACACACGTACATTAATTCAATAAAAACAAATTCAGAAACATTAATTAAAATATGTATGAATAGTAAATAAGTGTTGCTTTCATATTCTTATGTAAAGTAATGATATATGTTTTCACGTGTGCGCACTTACATATGCGATCTCTCTTTTTTCTTTACCATTATCATTATCTACTTCTATTGTTCCATTTATGAACATTAAATAACATTACTTAAAACAACAATATTAATTTTACTACAGCTACAACCAAGGTCTTATTTTCTTCAGTTTTATATGTAGCACCAGTCAGTCACTGGTTTTGTAATCAACGAATACAATGCTGTGTCATTTCCTCGTGTGTTTTAATATTCTACGTATTATTAATGAATTGTATTGCTCATTGTGCACACATAAACATTAATTCAATAAAAAAGACATTCGGTAATAAACAATAATGAATCTTTTGTACATAAGAGAAATGACGCTGTTTACACGATTATGCAAGTCATCTGCACGTTGGCGGGCCATTCAAACCCGTCGAAATTCAAGTTTCCGCCGTCAAAATTTTTATTTATTTTTTTTTGTGTGTGTTCCAATAAAATACGTTAAGAATTAAAAACTCGCGAAATTTGAGAAGCTACTATACGACATTTAACCCTTCAATATGTCTTCAAAGAGACCATGATGCAGAGAAAGTGGTGCTAGTGCTTCCAGGCATAAGCACAAGTCACTATCTATCCAGGAAAAGGGTGAATTTCCATAGTCCGGCACCGGTCAGGTCCCGAGGTTGCCGGACTGGAGAGGTACAACCTGTACTATAATTCATAACAACAAAATATATAGTACAAATTTCTATAAAGCAAGTTATCTTCTTCTGAATAAGAACTTAATCTACATTGCATTCCCTACCCAAAGGGAAATGTCTTGGTTGGTTTCCATCTTGCCATAACTGATGCAACTAAACCCATGACAAGTGCTGAACAATCAAACAACATGTGGAAACCATCAGAGATGAGACCTAAGCTGTTTGTCCACATTCCATAGGCAAATTCCACAAACGTAAAGCCTGAAAAAAAGAAGAAGAATTGACAGTGCACGAATTTTAATTGTAAGAATTTCTAAAGAACAGAAAACCCATTACTGTGTTATGCTTACAATCTTCCTCAGAACACACACAATACAAAAAAAAAACAATTTACAATACTCACAGAGATTAACACAGAGAAAGTAAAATATTGTGCGGCTGTTGGGATTTGAAAGAATTAGTCTGAGAGTTGAGGTGAAGAATGTGATGAGGGACTGTGAACGGTGTAGAGCCTCGCCAGGTAGACCATGAAGGGGCAGAGCCGGCACGCCCCCCGGGCCGCCGCGCCACCGCTCCTTCCCTGATGTTAACTGAAGAGTGGCTGAGGAGGTTGAAATATATATAAGAAAATAGGTATAAATGTAGTGGGTTATGTCCAGGAGCTGTAAAGGTAAAAAAAAAAGTCATACACTATAATGAAACCTACATATAACGGACTTATCTCGCTCCATATAATCCATTAGAAGGAGGGTTTCACATCTAATGAACCCTCGTTATAATGGACTCATCTTTATATAGTTTTTAGATGGAGGTTTCAGATCTAATGGACCCTTGATATAATGGAATTCCCTCTTCATATAGTCCATTAAATGGAGGTTTCACTCTAAAGTATCTGTCAACCGAAATGTTTAGGATAAAGAAGCTTCCATGAGGCTTCCATAAAATGAATAATTATGTGAAGGAGATACTATGTGTTCAAGGAAGGCTCCTCTGTCTCTCTCTCATATGTGTACCTTAAGTATTCCTTCTATTTCTATTCTCATTTACAAGACCAACATCAAGAATAACACTCTCCCTCATTTGCTGTCACTCCTTCACTACATACAACCCAGCATCACACAACACCTACAACAGCATATACATAGTATTTCCTACCTGCAGATAACATAACAACACTAAATGCCACACCCCCAGAGAAGGCATGTTCAAGTTTTTCTTTGACGTCTGTGCCATCATTTTCTTCACTTCCTCCCGAATACTTCCAGATGGCATTTATGATTAAGCCGGCAAAAAAGACTGCTAAGGTGCCAACTCTAGCTGTCTTCACCACATCCAGTCTGTAAAATATTAGTATATATTTAGAAAAGCAAACAGTCACAAGATTGTAGGTTTTATACACCTTAAGATAATATAGTGATTAAGTTTGGGACCCTTTAGGACTAAGGTACAATGAAAGACAAAAGTCGCATCGTGAAATTTGGTGAAAACATATGCTGAAGGGCTAAAACTTTTGGTGTGCTCTGCCTTGTGGTAGGGGGCTCTCATAATGTTTCACAAGTTATATTTAATCTTCGGACAAAACAGCGAGACGACGTTTGCCTTTGATTGTACAATATTAATGATGAAGTTAAAATTGGTTTGGTTTGGTTAGGGCCTATTAACAAGAGTCATCAGTCATTAACACTCACCTTTGTTTTACACAATACTGTACATAGTAATGAGACTCCGTAAGAACTTAAGAGATATTTTTCAAGTTGCAAGGGATTGCTTTTCTATCTGCATAAATACTTGAAGCCATTTCCCAACATTGCAAAAATCAGCATACCCAATTCATCTTATTAAGGTACCATAAAAATTATGTTTAAAAAAAAGTAGTTTCTCTATTAACGGTTTTGTTTCTTCTCGTTAACTTTATTTCAGAGCTGTTTTATTTAATTATAAAAAAAACACTTAATGGTTGAGCCTCAAACCAAACATCTAATAAAATTAATCCATGAGTCTTGGGTTAAACACCTGGGTTTAACTCTTAAAGATCATAAACTAGGATTAACTGATGAATTAATTATACTTCCCTATCACAACCAAGTTCTAATGATCCTTCCAGAAAATGTCACCATTTAAAGTATGAAGCAAACCTTCATAGAACCAGGTCAGCAGACACACAACTTGCCTTTACTCAGCCCCACTATAGTGGGGTTGTCAGGCTTAAGGCACTTCAAGTTCTAGTTGGCTTCCACACTACTGTATGGAGAGCAAGATGGGAAAGGTTATCCAAGTAGTCTGATGCCAGCCTCAGCCATAAAGTTAAATTTCAGTATCCATTCTTCAAGTGTAATATCTCACTTTACTTTTTTACTTTTATCCTCTTCACCACTGATCGGCTCGTTAGCCGCTTGGGCGATCGGTCACGTCTCTGTTACTTTTCTTTTTCTTTTATCCTCTTCACCAATTGATCGGCTCGTTAGCCACTTGAGCGATCGGTCACGTCTCTGTTATGCACTGTTGGCAAGTACTGGGCATGCAACACAACCATCACCATTACATTATTCCTGGATTAGCCTAACTAAACTAATGGTTTATTTATTTATTTATATTTTTTATTTATTTATTTTTTTAATCTATGCCTTTTTTATTGGATTTAATAAATTTTTGTTGGTTTAAAAAAAGTGTTTTTTATTACTTAGATGGTTTTAATTATTTAAAGTAGATTTGGAAAAGCATAAGATTCAGTGAACAGAAAAGCATTGTGGGAGGGATTATAAGTGTATGGGGTGGGAGGAAGGCTAATAAATGCAGTACTGTATAAGTATTCAATGGTTAATAAACTTATCTGATATCTTATGTTGAGATGCAAAATTTTTTTAAAATCTAATGCAATTTGTTCAAGCTATTGTGTTGAACACAGCATTCACTTCTTTGTCCCTTTCCACTGGGCAGAAGGGGACAAAACAACTTACAACCCAACAAATATACTGTATAATATAAATAAGAATTACATACCTTTGAACACAGGCAGTGTCAATGTAATAGTGTAAAACAAAGACGAATAGGGCAACAACAAATGCCTGTGGCAGAAACTGTAGAGTCCTGGGGCTTGGTGTGTCCTGTAATATCAAATGGTAACATCAGATGACATCAACAATAAATTTCATACTGTATACAGAAGAGAATGACTGAATACTGCCTATTAAGGAGAAAATCTAGAAACCCTGCTTATTCACATAGACAACTGGTGTTACAATGACAGGAAGTGGTGCCCAAATTGTTTTGTGCTGAAGCAACAAAAGGAACCTTTTAATAAAGCCTTCTATCCATTACACTTGAGGCTGGGCTTCATTTTCCATTTGCCAAATACCCGGTAGCATGGAACACCAAGATACATTTAGCTTTTATGTGCAAGAATTGAAACACATTCTGGTCCATTTCCACATTCTTTCCAAATCACTTGAGGATTGAAAACTCCAGCCAAGACCATACACATTTAATTAAATTTAAAAATCAGTTTGTGGGAAAACCTACTGAACTGTAGAGAAAGGCCTAAACAGAACCCTCCACCACTTCAATTAAGAATCAAGAAAGAGAAGATACTGAAAAGTAGTTATGGAATAGAGACAGACAAAAGAGAGATATTTGTTAAGCACCTTTACAGTGGTGCGAGCAATCTCTAAGTTGACCAATGCTTTTGTCAAAATTGAGCAGCTGAAAGCCAGAAAGACAGGAGGGAAAAAAGAAAAGAAAACCTAAGTGTTTAAAACGAAGTTTTTTCAGAAATACTGATCATGAAAGTACATACAGTATGGTGGAGTTTGTAATAATAAGTACTGTACAGTAAGAATTAAAAATACAACATCATCTGCTAAACTAAAATTTTTATTCTACTATATTTTAGTTTTATCTCATATACTGTACATTACTACAAACCTGAGTCAGCCAAATCATAAAGGTAATTGGACAGAGGAAAATAGCAGAGACAATGGCAGTCAGAGCATGTAAACGCTTGGATCCACCAACGTCCACAGCTAAACGCCGTCCCCCATTATTGACGTAAGCTTGTAGACACAGAGTCAGTAGAAGCACAACAATACCACCCTGCAGAGAACCAAGTCAGTACATTTCTCAACAGCTTGATGACTATCATGCACTTCAACACATAACATTAAATGTAGAGTGGTTGTGTGGTAGTGAAGGAAACACAACTAAGAGATGGACCTTTATTCCTGATGTTTCGTCACAAGGAATAAAGCTCCATCTCTTAGTCGTGTTTCTTTCATTACCACACTACCATCTGTCCACTATAAACAATGTTTAAATATACAGTAGTGGTAATGTGTTTGCCTAAAATTTGGGTTTCTACCTCAAATGCAACTAAATCATGGCCATTTCAAGGAGGATATTTATTTTTTTCAATGAAACATATCAAGTGGAATTGTGACAAAATATAAATGGAAACACTTTTAATCAAATAACTTTACCCTGTATACCAGCATACAGTACTGTATCAAATATATATCAAACTCATAAATTGCCACAAGAAATATTTTATGAAAAATATAATAGTGTACAGTGTGGGTTGATTACTATACCTCATGATCTGAAAGCCCAGTCCAAGCTAACAGGTAGTAGAGGAGATGGCTGACGCCATGGTGCTGTTGTCCCTCCGGGTGTTCTGCTGCTTTGGTTGCATCATTGTCGAACAACACGAGAGAAAGAACACCCAGGACAAACCAAAATGAGCCTCGCAGCTTCCCTGGGCCACCTATACCTAGAAAGTTATCATTCAGGGATTTATTATATTAAATCCTTTAAAAAATTCAACAACAGAATGTAGCAGTAACACATTTAATTGGCAACCTCCAGGTGAGAAAAGTTTGCCAGCAAAGTGAGGCAAGATACTCTTCCTTTGTTATTTATTTATCTCTTATTCTCATTTCTTCTTGTCCCGGATCAAACAAATACCTTAATAGGCAGAAGATAAAGTCCCTTATTTTTTTTTTCACCTTTTGTTTGACGTTGCAGGTATAATGTTATTAATGCACTTTAACAACTGAGGTCTTTAAGCACCAAACAAGGTCAGTAATTACATTTGCCCATCAACAGCTAAAAACCAATTTAAGCCTAAAGTATACAGCATTACATCATCATACAAACAGTTTCAAATAGACAACAAGTATCTACTATGTTACTTTCCATTAATTACCTTTAAGAACAGCACTCCAGACAGCCAGAACAACAATATCAGCATGTTCACTCAGCAGTATTGTACGTAAGGGTCCCACATAAGCTAGTCCATAAAACCACAGGAGGTTGAGGCAGGTCTGAACAAATGCATGTCTTGCAATATTAATCCAAACAACCTGCTGCAGCTTTTTGCTTCCGGAGAGAGGACGTTGAACAAAGCCATACACAAGAGCACATCTGTGAACAAAATTTCACTTTAGTTATAGGAAAATAGTACACCTATTTTAATAAAATAAAAATAGTCTTTTTACACCCTGATCTTGTTGCAGAAGCCTTGAGAGACTTGTTTTAAAGCTCAAGTGCTGTCAAAATTAAGGTACAGTACAGTACTTCTGAATGATGTATTCCACATAACCTCAAGTGAACAATGTTTTAAATTCAACAGTGTATTCTTCATGGTTTTCAACTTGTCTAAGATATTGTCAGCCTCTCTGATGGTTCTTCATATACATCTAATACCATAAACAACAGGATGGCTTTTTCTTTACTTGTACAATGCTTCATAGATCCAAATGTTTTTCTCTCTGCCCAGCATATATTGTACAGTCACCTTACCCAAAAACACATTAATATTTACCGTATGCTGAAAGGTTCTGTTATCTTATCAACAATTCGTATACAGTGCAATATTTTATACCTGACTCTCTTATCGGCTAAGTTTTCTTGTGACATGCGTAGTACTGAAATCGCACAAAAGTTATAATAGCATACAGCTAATACAGACTTTCTCATTAGAAGCCAAGTTCTTTGTGAACATATAGCAAGTTCAAAAAAGCTTTCCCTAAATTGGTTTGGTTAAGATTTTGACTCTGGCTGCCTTCCAGTATGAAAGAAAGCTGGATTGCTCTTGTTCCAGTTTGGATTATTTCTACTGCTCCCTCAATTGACTTGTTCAATATAACCTTCAGAGATAGAAGTACCGGTACTTTAATGATTTTCCTGTTAGTCTGTTGTCTGGAGTTCTTTTCTGCATTCGGTGGTTTTATCAGCCTTGCAAGATTTTGAGGTACTGGGTATGTTCCAGCTGTCCTTTCATGATGAGGGTCAACTTTTAGGAGCAGATCGTCTAACAATAATCAAAGCAGATGAACTGTTTGAATGATGGGGAGGACAAGCTCAGTCTACACTACCTCACCAGAAGCTATAGTGCTGTAGCCAGCTCTCTCCCTTTCCATTAAGGGTACTGCAGTGGAACTTGAAGTTTTAACTTAACCTGCTTGAGCCTCCTCCCTCTCTTCCAGCTAGTGTCATATACAAGAGTCCCTTGGAAGTTGGAACTAATGTTGGGACTCGGATATGGGGCCAACTGCCTACTTGTACTTGGTACTTAAGGACCAGTTTTTAGATTCACGTACTTGTATTTGTACTGTACTTGACATTTCAGTTTTGTATACAATTTTCATTTTATTCACTACATTTTAAATAATCAGGTGACACATGATAATATACAGTCTCTCCTCGACTTATGACGGGGTTCCGTCCTGATGACCAGGTCTAAGTCGAAAAGGCGAAAATAATACATAGAAATTCTAAAATGGGTGTCTTTTTCTTCTTGGCACCACGAGAACTCTCACTTTTACGCTTGCCAGCCATTTTAAAGAGAATTACAAACGAAAATTTTGTCAGTACACAGCGCGATCACTAAAGTCAGTATTGGAAAATGCGTAATTTGAAAAGTATTTTATAAGACCCCGGTGGTCGCATGTCCGGGTTGTCATAATTCGAGTATGTCGTAAGTCGAGGAGTATCTGTATACTGTACCAATAGTCTATAAAGCCCAACTCTGATGTGTTGTGTTGGTAGGAAAAATCTGGCTCTTCTGATCCTAGTGATAGTGATAATGATGAAACTGAGGACTTCGACACCAATTGTTGACTCTTGAGGGTTATTCAGCCCTCCCTATTCAACTCATTCCTTGCTTTGCAACATACAGTACCTTGCAACTAGTTGTTCAAGATGACTTAAAAATATGACCAGCTAAACAGGACTTTTGAAAAAACAAACGAAAAACAGCAAAGATTGCATCATATGTACACAGATTTGCTACAACCACAGAGTTACAGGAGGGTAAGAGAAGGTTTCAAGCTGTATGTACAGTACTGATGAGAACTTTGAATCAAATATGTTATACAGTAAACAATAATGATCACTTACAAATAAAAATTATGTGTATCATAATTGCGATGGTCTCTTCGACATTTATTTAGAAGATAGTTTATTATTAATTCTTTACTTATAAAGACCACTGATTTTTATTACTGGAGTAACTATGACCTACAGTATAGTGTGTAAGGTATAACCCCCTACACATGAACCTTGCGATGTGCATTAATGTTTTTGCTTTTGTATTTAGCAATAAAGCGATAAATAAATTACCGAGAACCTTCTTATAAATTTCTTCCACAAAAGTACTTGTGTACTTTTACTTGATCAAGTACACTACTTACTTGGAATTACTATACATGACCAAATTTCCTACATCGTGTTTTTACTTTTCTTTTTGCAAATTCTTAAAGTACTTGTACTTTTGAAATAATGTAGTACTCAGCCCAAGTACTTCACACAGGCTTGAAGAGCATTGTACACGAGTATCCTTGACCTTGACTCTTGCAAAACGGGATTTCCAGGATGACTCTTCCAACTACCATTTCTTCCCAATTCTTTAGCCTCCCTTTGCCTAGAATCTTGCACTAAATTCATCTTTTTATTTTCCTCTCTCTTCTACTTTTCTCCTCTCTTACTGCTCTATTGGTACATTTTTTTCTACAAGGTTTTCTAAATGCAGCTCTCTTCCTTGTTTTTGCTTCTTTTATATCTGCCCTCCAATAAGCACCTCCACCTCCCCACCTCGTATTTTTATTTTCTTTTTCACTCATTTTACTGCCTTGTTTATGCTCTCACTGCACCTCCTCCCATCTACACTGTGAATGTCTCTAGTGTACTACATTCCTCTTTTTATAGCCTCATCCAACTTCTTTGACTTTTTAAGTGTATTCTTGTGTAATTACCACACCTTCCACTCTTCTTTCATCTCGCTGTTCCTCTTTGTTTTGGTATATAAGCCCATCTCATTCTGATTTTAAATTCTGCAAGCACCAAGTACAATAGTGGTTTGCTCTGGTCATCATTCCTCTTATTACTTTTGCATCTATGGATTTTTTAATCCTCTCACCTACTACTGTATTGTACTGTATAATACTCAAAGACTTGTGATCATATACCAGTAATACCTCATTATTTCTTTTTCCAAATATACGGATATACCTTACATCGGCAGTCGAAATTTGGTTAACTTTTTTTTTCTGCAAGCTGAAATGAGAATGTTGAGGTGGATATGCAATGTGAAACTGAAGGACAGAAAACCCTATTCAGAGTTAAGAAGGCAGCTGGGTATTGAAAGTATGTAATGGCAAAGTTTAGTACAGTATTGAGATATGATGAGATGGTTTAGGTATGTGGAGAATGGATGAGAGCCACTGGATCAAGAGATGCACGAATCTATATGTGCAGAGGAGAGCCAAGGGTAGGCCAAGAATGACATGGTGAGAGGTTGTAAGAAGTGACAGTATGAGTTAAGAACCTGACGAGAGGCTACAAGAGAATGTGCAACATGGAGAACTACCACTAGGTAATTGAGCTAACACACACAAGCATACGCATGTCTCTACATCTTACTTATTATTCTAAGTGGTTCTAATACTTAATAGCACTTAAACTTTTAAACATTTTATTTTTCTTCGTTTGAGTCACATTTTAAACATACAAAATACTAACATCTGAGACTCCTTAGATATAATCTTCCACACAAATCATACACACACTAAATTCTATTCTAACAAGTTAATAATCTAAACATATTTAAATAATGAAAACCTTTTATAATAAAACGTCTAGAGAAGCAATATAAAACTACCTAGATATTGTAGGTTACAATATTGTGATTTACTTCAGCTGAATATTTGTACTTGCACCTGTTTCTCATTTAAGTATGTCATTTATTCAAAACATATTATGTGGATTCTGAATAACATTAAGTAATTACAGTAAGTGGTACAGTATAGAGAAGGACAATATTACTGTATTGTAATACTAGGTACAAAGTTTGTATCATTGCTAAACATATGAAAACTTATCTGTATATGTGACATGCGTTTGACATACAACCGTACACCTGATTCCATGTGCAAGCAAATCATTGTGGACCTCAAATCCATTTGTTTTAAATATCAAGACAATTATTTAAGACATTAAGTACATTTCCAGTGGACTTCCTACATAATCATTGTACTGTAGATAGTTATACATGTGTCTACAAATTCACCAAGATGAATACAAGATATTGATGTTTTTGTCTAAAATGACAGGCATCTGCACTGTACCTGTATACATTTATTCACAAATTCAACAGTTCTTAATTCCCTTAATATTTCTTAAAATAATATTCTCTATAATATTGTCTTAAAATAATATATTTCAATTAAAAAAAATCTAAGTTAAAATTGTAAAAAAAAAAAAAATATTCCAGGTACTGGTAAGCCAGATCACAAAATACATCTGGTAATCTGAAAAGGAACACCGTAAGATTCTCTGTGACAACCTCGTTCAAAAGCAAGATCCAGGATAGCATATGACATTAATAACAAAATGTCATTTGAAGTATCAAGCAATAACACAGCAATTAAAATAGTTGTTCGAGATGATTTTGTATAGCAAGTTGATAGGAATGCAAGTCACGTGTTAGGTAATATACTAGACAGCACATAAAGTCGAGTCAGGAGCAAATGACAGACCTTGATTAGTACTGCTGTGTTATAGCAATCTCTCTCCTGTCAAAAAAATTTGGGGATGAAATAACAAAACTAAAAATTCAATATAATTAAATAATCAAATCAATCAAGCTGTTCAAAAATCCTGTGAAAGATCAGGCAATCAATTTCTTCTTTTCTCTAAGCTGCAAAATCACTGAGGAGTGTGTTGATGAGTGCTAAGACAATTTTGAATACTCTTCTCACTCATGTTTACAGAACTGTGGTAAATTCCTCCCTCTCCTTATTTGTGCATAATGTTTTAAGCCCAATTTACCAATATGACTTGGAAAAACCATGCAGGTGATAGTCTTAATGTGGCCAAGCATTCCAGGAATAACATGTGTGGATGAGGAAATGCAGCTTATATGG